TGCCCGAGCCCAGCTTCCCACGGCCTCAGCTCACCTCCATCCTCTCTGACCTAGATGTCCTCTGCTCCCTGACCTTTGAGATGCTTCCCTTCTTTTTCAATTAAATCCAAGAAGCATTTATTGAGTTCCTAGATCAGAGGAATGCCATCGATGTCACCTATCTAGATTTCATATGGCTTTGGACATTTCTCATGCTACCTTTTTGACTAAAATCATCGGTGATGGCTTCCTGACATTTCCAGGCAAAGCTGAGCACTTCCTGCCAGAGTCCTGGTTCATCTCTGTCTTTAGCCCTCATCACATTGCTGTGATTATTGGATTATATTTCTCTCTTGCCTATTCACTGTGAACCCCTGAGTCTTATTTTTCTTGTTGCCCCAGAGTTCAGAGCCATTGACAGTAGCCATTAAAGAAGTATAGAAAATGAATGGTATGGAGACAAAAAGGGAAGTTATTGGCTGGGTGCTATTAAACTTAGATGGGTCTATATAGCCATATACAAATCTGGTAGGAATAACCTGTTAGTCTTTCCTGAAGAACCAAAGGTCTTTGCCCTGAGCCCCATCATAACCAACATTTTTACAAACATCCTGGATGAAGATATAAAAAGCACATAAAACAGATTTGCAGAAAGACCAAAGCTGGGAGGTATCACTAATGTGTAGGCTGTTAGAATGAATGTTGCAAAGTTGTCTTGGCCTACTAGATCAGTAGACCAAACTAAGAAGATAAAAATTCACACTAATGAATGTAAATGCTACACTCATGGTTGCACTAGACACTAGTCCAGTGAAGGAGGTCTGGCTTAGCAGTTCCTATGAAAAAGTTCTAGCAATTCTCGCAGTCTTTAAGCTAGAGGAAAACCCAGAGACTATCCAATATAGAGGATCTCAAGCTTTTTAAATATATATATATATATAGCATTTCCAGCAATTAGAATTTTATACAGAGGCCTAGTTTTGTTTCTTTTGGGGGGGGGGGGGTTGTTGTTGTTGTTTTAAATATATTTTATTGATTTTTTTACAGAGAGGAAGGGAGAGGGATAGAGAGTTAGAAACACAGATGAGAGAGAAACATCAATCAGCTGCCTCCTGCACACCCCCTACTGGGGATGTGCCCGCAACCAAGGTACATGCCCTTGACAGGATTCGAACCTGGGACCCTTCAGTTCGCAGGCCGAAGCTCTATCCACTGAGCCACAGGGGCTAGAGCCAGAGGCCTAGTTTTTAAAAAACAAATTTTAAGGCACTGCTCTGTGTAGTAGAGACAAAGGGTCTGGCAAGTCAGATCCCCCCTGCAATTTGCCTCTCACCCGCACCCTGTGAAGACCCCCAAGGCACCTTCCCCAACTCCTGGGGCTCGTCTGAGGATTGTTGGAAGACAACAGGTCAGCATCAGTCTCTTTGACCCCACCAAGTCTACACAGCTAGTGTCAGAACTCCTTCAATCCTTTAGCAAGCTCTCTTTCTGTTTGTTCGGTTTCTCCCTGGTATTGCCTGACACATTTGACTGTACATCGCCTGCTCCCTCATGGGGTTCTGCTGTTCGTTTTGCTCACCAGTGTATCCTGGAGCATGGTATGTGGTAGGGGCTCAATAAACATTTGTTGGGAAAATGAATTAAAGAACTTGAAAAGAACCCAGGTGTCTTGACTCCCAACCTACTAGTGCCCTTCCCATATCGTGCATGCCCCAGCAACAACACAAGCTAACATTGGGCTGCATTAAAAGAAGATTGCTGTCCATAAATAGATGAGTGGATAAAGAAGAGGTGGTACATACCCACTATAGAATGTTACACAACAATAAAAAAAGAATGAAATCTTGTCTTTTGTGACAACATGGATGGACCTACAGATGCTAAGTGAAATAAGTCAGAGGAAGACAAATACTGTATGGTTTCACTTATATGTGGAATATTTTAAAACGTGTCATGAAAATGTTATTCTTTTTATTTTGTTTCAGTCATTTGAAAATGTAGAAGCTATTCTTAATACGTTGGTTGTACAAAAACAGTCAGTGGGCTGGATTTTGCCGTTGGGCCACAGTTGGTCAGTCCCTGGTCTAGTCCGAGCCCTTCCTGAGACATGACTGGCAGGGCAGCACAGGGTGAGAATCTACACCTTCGATTCTCCTGTTGTGCTCTTCTTCCCCCTGCAAAGTGATGTATCAGCTGCCCCTGTTCCCTTGAATACCAAGTGCATTTACTGCAAGGGCGGCAGCTGGTCCAAACCCTGCCAACTGTCACATCCGGTGTAGAACTTTGGGGCATGATGCTCCATCTCTGTCCCACTCTCATACCCATTCAAGGGATGACTTAGGCCAGGTCAATGGCCCTCTCTGGACCCTAACAGAAAGTACAAACATAGGAACTCAACTTAGTCATCTCTGAGAGCATGTCCTGTGTCAGTTGTCCTTCCTTCCCACATCCCAGACCAGCCCTCAGCCTTTCCCTCTCCTGGGACAGTTCAGTACTGGCCTATCCTGGCACCCTACCAGTTGGCACTGCATGCTGCCCTCACCAGAAACCATCCCTTGTAGCAATGAGCTTTAAAAGATAATGACTTCTGGGCAGGAAAACTAGAAATGGAAGCAGATGAAGTGTCTATTTTCGTGCAGATGAAGTCGTGGAAGGATACATGATTCAGACTTTCTGGACTGCGTGTTTCTGTCATTTTGTGTAAGGCAGCAAGCTAGCTTTCCTCTGGGGTGATGGCTGGGACTGATGTTTGGGGTTTCCTCTTTTAAAGGGGTTTTGATGCTCTTTGGTTGGTGTTTTCATTTTTTGTTTTGTTGTGTTGTGATTTGTTTTAATGAGGAGTTGGAGATGGAGGATCAAGAGAGAAAGGGGTTTTTTGGGGGGAAGGGGGGAGCAGAACCCATGTGTAGTGCCTCCTCCAGGGTCTGATCATACAAAGGTCAAGGTAGTTCAAAGTCATAGAATCAGATGCTTGGGGACCTGCCAAACACCACATGCCTTGGTTAGAAAATCAGTGACAGTTAGACATCTTGTGAGATTGCCATCCAAAGATAAGGAAGGGAAAGGGGAGAGTCTGGCATGGAGTTCCAAGCAGGCTTGGAGCCCTGGGCCTGTCCCTGTTGTCACATTAAAGAATGTGACCACTCTGCCCCTGAGCAGTTCCCTCTAGTCTTGCCAGGGCAATGGTGGCTGGGAGCCTGGAGGAAAAACCTGGTCAACCACCAGCCCAGAGTATTTCTCAGTATTAGTTTCCTCTACTACTCTCTCCCCAGGTGTTTAGTACCCAAAGGGGTTGGACTCCTTGAATTGGTGTTAGGTCACTGGATCTTCGCAGGGTGCTCTCGGGTACTCTGGAGACTTGAGTAGAAGAAGCTGCTCCTCAGGACTACACTGAATCCTGCATTCCCTTATATATCAGTGTGCTAGTAGATTCCAGCTGTACAGGAGGGCGGTAGGGCTGGGGGGGGGGGAGGAGCAGGGAGCGAAGCCTTGATTTATAACATTGGCCAACTCCCATGGTGTAAACAAACATTCCCAACTTGGCCAATTTCAGCGTGATTATCCACTGGCTCACAAATACCCTCAAAATTAACATTCGGCTCTTGCAAGTCAGAATGTTCTAGGTCTAGTACACCACTGCCCTGAGCCCTTTGGAATCCAAGGATAAAGGAGAAACCAGAATAGTCTTCCCAGGTAACAAAATGAACCATGAACCCAGTGAAACACATCACAGTTGAGGGACCCTAGTGGGGGTAGCAGGGAGGAGAAGAGGCTGGCAAAGTAGAGGTCCTAAAATGCCCACAGCCAATGCAGGTAGAGGGGAATAAGGGACTGAGGATAAATGCTAGAAACTGCAGAAGAAGCAAACCTATGTGTGGTCCTCCAAACAAACAAACAAACAAACAAACAAAAAACATACACACACAAAACTGTGAAGGATTTAGCCACCTCCCCTTCCTAGTTCCTGTCTCAGTCCATTATGTTGCAGGGAAAGTCTTACTATAGGTTATTAAGAAGCAACCACCTTATAGCTCTGAAAAGAGATGCCCCCGCCTTTAGAACAGGCTGTAGAAGAGATGGTGGCTGACCTGGAAGAATTTGTACTGTGAACAGCTTCTCTGTCCACCTGGCCAGGTTCAGGTGGCACCAAGAATGGAATTGTGCTGTCCTCTACCACTGCAACTCCCCTTGCCCTGCTCCCCAGCCTTCTCCCTATTATTCCCACTGAATACACTTCTTCTGGTTTAGGGGAGGAAAACTTCACCTCCCCCAGCTCCTTAGATTTCCCTAGAGCCCACAAAAACTCATTTGTTAAAAGAGGGAGGGGATCTGTGGATAAACAAAGGTCCCTTCCCTTGGGCAGTTGCAGCTTAGCAGGCACTCTGGGAATAGGGCCAACTAGTACTTCACTCTGTATTCCACTCTCCTCACACGTCTGACACACACAAAGAACCCTATTGCCCATTCTACTGTCCCTAGTCTTTCAGAATCTACTCACCTGGCCAGAGTCATTCCCACAGTCCTCCAAGCTCCCTTCACTCCCTTCTCTGGGAGACAAGAGCCCTGGGTTCCGTTCTTCCTCTGCCACTAATTGTCTTAACACTTGTGTAAGCTCTTTAGACTATCCTTTCCTTACCTGTTACATAAATATGGTTGCACTTTAAAATAATAAAGTTCCATATAAATGTTATGGAAAAATAAAATTTGTGGGGAATATTAAAAATGTTCAAGTACCTTTCACTTAATCACCACAAAAAACATGTGACATAGGTAGTAATATTAGATAATATTAGGAAACTGAGGCTGAGAGAGATTTTGGGAAACATACCCAAGGTTACATGGACAAGAAGTAACCCAACCAGATTTGAGCTCATTCTTCTGATGCCCATCCCTCCACGCAGACCCCCTAAAAGCAGTGGCTACAATGACGATCCCACATCAGAGCCCTCAGCTCTTCCTCTGGGTAGGACATAACTCCTTGGTTAACATTCGTGTCCTTTTGGATCACCAGTTTAACTCACCAAACTGATTTCCATTTCCAAGCTGGGTGACGATGTGAAGACGTTCAACATCGAGGAGAAAACAAGGCTCTGTTCTAAGCAAGTTGGTGAGTGGGCACAGTTTATCTTCAGTGAGCCTTCGTACGAAGGACAAGTAGGAAGTGTGGAAGCCTCTTCCTGCACCAATGAGACAGTCACCGGTTCTGCTGACCATAAAACCAACCATTCGTGTAAACACAGAATCCCGACCCATGGGTCTGGAGACTGAAAACGATGAAGCCCCCAAACTTAAAGGAATTCTAAACCAACCAGAAATGGGGCACATAACTAACTCTATGCCAAAGTCTTGGCTTTCATCCAAATACTATGCAGAACTGGACGTGGTAAGCGGTTCTCCAGTGCCAGGCTGTGGAACTAGCAACCATGCACTGCCTTCGAAGTCCCCTGCAGTCCGAGACCTGGATTTTCAATTCATTATGGATGAGCCCAAAGTATAGACTTACAGACCTTCCTAGAAATGAATAGTGAGAAGTGTGAAGACAACTCAGACCACCAGAGAAATTCTATTTATTTTAGAGACTTTATTGGTAAAAGGGGGTCAGGATACTATTTCTGGTAAATCCACTGGGCAGGTCCAATCTAAAGACCTGCTCATAATTACATTACCACTTGGTTGGGTATTAACCATCTTGGTAAAACCATAATGGTTGGCCAGTAGGTAGTTTAGACTGAGAAAATATGAAATCGAACTATTAACCAGAAAAGTTTGAGATATTTTTTTCTAGGCTCTTTTTATAGGCTAAAGACCTGCACAAGATGAAGTTCAAGAAATCACTTGAGTGTAATGTGAAGTCATTCACCTTTTGAGAATAAAATTATAACTACCAAGTTATGTGCGGCTTCTGTAGGGAAAAGGATAAGCAGACTGGCCAAGAGCAGATCATAAAAACGTGGAGGAAGGACCAGCTGGGCTGCCTACAAAGGTGCAGAATGAAAGGTGAGTTGGGAACACTTGCTCACATGGACTCAAGGAAGCTACCTGCGACTGACAGGAAAGAGGAAGGGAGTTTGCAGAGCTTCAGGAAAGAAGAGGAGAAATAAGGATGATTGATTCCAGCTGGTTGTGGGAAAAAGGAAAAGGAAAACAAAGAAGCCAGAGTGTGGTGATTGCTGCCTGAGAAGGCAGCTTCTCAGGAGAAAATGCTCCTGGGTGGATATGCCTAACTCCAGAGGGAAAGCTCTGTGAAGTGCATGGAGGGGAACTAGAGAAGAAGAAAGAGCTATTGAAAGTGACACGGAGAGAGGGGGCATGGCCAACTGATTGTGGATAGATCCCAAGTCCTAAAATAATGGGTAGAAAAAAGGAGACAAAGGAAAGGAAATTTTAAAGAAGCCTTCAAAGACTAATTAAATTCACAAAAAGACTAGAGATAATTCCACACAGGAGCATACATTACACCTAAAAAGAAGGCAAGAGTGGCCACTTACAGGACTCCAGGGAAAGATAAACCAGAATAAGATTGTGTAGGGAGTAGTCTGGGTATTACCTGTGCAGAACAGATTATTTCCCAAGAACCCGGAGAAGAACTAGATCCATCAGTCTCCAAAGCAGAACATTTTAAAAGAGTGAGATTTCTATTTTCAGTTTATAATGGGAACTTTCTGAATATTTATAGAATATGGATCTGATGATACAAAATGATGCTTGTGAATTGAAGAAGCAATACAACCCACTTCATGGATATGCAGATCCCCCATCTCCAAAAATTCTTAAAATCCCCAAAAGAAATTTGAAAAAGCCATATTTAAAAATATGACTCATTTCCTGAACATCACAAGAAAATGTGGGGGGCGGGGAGGGGAGGAAAGGAAGCTGTTCACTGATTCTTCAAAAAAGAATAAAATGAGAGATCTAGGTGCCCCGGCAAACTGAATAACGCAGGTTGTAAGAGCATAGACTTGAAAGATGGACTTTAAATATAAACACATAGGCCAATGGTTTGGCTACGTGGTTACCCAAATGGAGGAAGGGCATTCTTTATGTACAAAAAGAATACAGGGTATGACACATAACATGAATGATGCTCTCATTTTTATTTATGAAGGAAATAGCCAAAACTCACTCCTCAAAAACTAGAAGTTTGGCAGAGGTATAAAGAAGGAGGTGAACTCCTGATGGAACGAGATGAGATTAAAAGTAAAGTGGGAGAGATCAAGGGGAGGGCAGGCTTCTGATCTTCCCAGGCTGGCAGTGATGGGCATGTTAGAAAATGGTATGAGGAAGTGCTCAAGGAAAGTGGCCCTGAAATCAAAGGTTTTAAAGGGAAAACCAGAGTCCCTCACGTAGAAGCAATAATCGGAGAGACCAGGGTAAAGAAACTGGAATAGAAGTGATGAAATTTAATGCTAAAGAGAGGCTTCTAGAGGAGTTCATACAGAGAAGAAAAGGAAAAGGGAAAGATATAGCAACAATTAAAGAAAGTGCCTACAAAATTCTAGAGTGTGCTAGAAATGTAAGGGGAGAAGAGTAATGGTAAATAAAATAAAGTAGATAGATTTTAGTGGCAAGGTTGAAATGGTTAATAAAGGGGATTTTTATGAAATTGTTTTCAGGAGAACAGTATAGAAAGAAGGGAAGAGGCAGTGGGCTTATTTCAGTATGCCAGGAATAATGAAGAAATACATGAATCATCAGCCAGCAACCCCAAAAGAAGCATGCTGAAGCTGTGGGTGGGGAAGAAGCCACGCTCTGGGGCCTCCTACTAACTCCTAGGGACTTCCGCTCCTCCCCTGGGGCTACTTCAGCACCTGTTTTCAATAGCACTTGGAGGAAAGGGGAAAAGGATGAACGAAATGAATCTCATTTCTTCTTTGGTTCAGTCAACATAAAAACATGGTCTATGGGCCAAGTGATTGATACTGAGAAAACACAAGAATAAATAAGAAACGCGGCTAGATATAAACAGAAGCAAAAAGAAGAGTGAGTATTTAAAACATGGAATTTGCCAGAGAAGGTAGAGCAAAGTTCACAATCAATAAAACGAGAGACAATATGAAATATGATAGAACTGAAGATAAGAAGGTAGACAAGAGATTGCTGTATAATCTTTTTGAAGAGGAACAAGATGGAAAGGGAAAGGGGGAAGCAAGAGGGGGAAGTGATGTTAAAAGCCCCAACTCTAGAGCCAGACAGACCTGGCTCTAACCTGAGTCCCCACCCTTACTCAGCCGGCTCTGCTGTGATCTTGAGGAAGGAGGTGCCCATGAACCCTGAGCCTCAGGCCCCTCAACTATAACACAGACGAAGAGTCTAACCACCAGAGTAACTTGTGGTGTCAGCATGACAGAGTAAGGGGTGTCAGACTTACCTTCCCACCACAAACAACAGTAAAACTGGACAAAATATATAAAACAACTGTTTTCAGGTAGTCGGCCACAGATGGTGCAGAGATGGGAAACTTGAGAGAAGTAAAACAGAAGAGGTGAAATCCATGTTTACTCTGGCCTTCTGCCTGGGGCTTTCCAAAACCACAGCATGGGGAAGCAGAATCCAAACGAAGGCAGGAGGAAAAGCAGACCAAATGTGAGGGTTGACCAAGGGACTGAAGTTAGGGCAGCGCACAGAGAGGAAGGAGCTGCATAGAGAAGAAACCCAGAAGTCTGCAGGGGGCCCACCTGAGTCTGGCTGCCAATGAAGCTGCCTGCACGCAGAGTGTCGGAGGGCAGTGTCCTGAACAAAGATTCCAGAGGTCACACAGTGGGGACAGACACTGATGTCTTCAGTGGCCATAGTAGAGAGAGTTTGAAGAATACTCTGGAAATTCAACTGAGATCCAGGAAAGGCCACACCTTAGAGGTTAGGGCATCTGGCCCTAGAGAGGGAATGCACTCAACCCTCCATCACAAAAACAAAGGCCGGCACTCAGCAGTATCAAGCTGACCCATGAATAACTAGCTGCCTGCTAAATAAATAAATAAGTAAATAAATAAATAAGTAAATAAATAAGTAAATAAATAAATCCACCGCTCTTGACAGGAAGACAATAAAATCCATGAAGTATGGTATGCAATAATAAAAATTTTAAAAAATGATGGCATGTAACAAGGAGGAAACAAAGTAGTCAGAATAGAAAGAGTCCCAAAGGTGATACGGAAGGAATTAGCAGACAAGGACTTTAAAAAGACAACATAAATATGTTCAAGAATTTAAAGGGAAAGAATGAACATAAGGAATGAATAGATAAATAATTTTATCAGAGGATAGAAACTATGAAATAGAACCAAATGGAAACTATAGAACTAAAAAATATACAATAACTGAAGTTATTCACAGGATGGACTTAACAGTAGATTGGACACTGCAAAAGAAAAGATCAATAAACTTGAAGACAGAATAATAGAAAGTATTCAAATTAAAGCACATAGGGGGAAAAAAAGGACTAAAAAAACTACAGAGTTTAAGTTACATGTGGAACAATAATAACCAGTCAAATACATGTATACCTGAAAACTCAAAAGGAAAGCAAAGAGAAATTGGAACAGAAGAGATATTTAAAAAAAAAAAAAAAAAAAAACCCGACTTCACATGTGATTTAAAAAAAAAAAAAATCCACAGATCCAATACTCTCAACTTATCTCAAGCAAAACACAAAGGAAACCACATCCAAGCATATCATAGTCAAATTTCGGGGGGGGCGGGGGGGAACAAAAAAAAAAAACATAAAGAGATCTTAAATGCATCCTGAGGGCAAAAAAAAGAAAGAAAATCTTTCTACAGGGGACCATTAATAGGAATTAATTTTCTCATCAGAATCCGTGCAGTCCAGAAGATAGTGGAATTAAATATTTGAAGCCCTAAGAGAAAAAACTGTTAACCTAGAATTCTATATCCAGCAGAAATATCTTCCAAAAATGAAGGCAAAATAAAAACATGCCAGATAAACAAAATCAAAATAATTTATCACCAGCAGAGCTGCACAATAAAAATGTTAAAGGAAGTTCTTCAGACCAAAGGGACATACCAGATAGAAACATACATCCACAACACAAAGAGGAGAGTGCCAAAATGGTAAATCTATGGGGGAAATAGAAAACACGTTTTAAACATTTTTTTTACGTTGACTGTTTAAGGCAAAAATAATGGCCATGTGGTTCTGGGCTTATAATATATGTAGAAGCAAAGCATGTAATAAT